ATATTGAAAGAAAAACCCCAGAGGTTTAGGAAAGCTTAAGTTGCACTTTTAATAAGTGAAGAACTAGTGATTTGACTCCAGCTCTGTCTTGTCCCAGCGCCCACAGAGATTCTAGCAGAATATGTTGCTTCCCAGGGAGATGTCCCAAAATGTAAACTGAACTGAAGACCTTTTTTTGTCTTAAAGAAGTATATAATGCAGTTTTTGTAATTGTGGCTCATGTATTAGTTTATTCTTTGGGAAAAATCTCTTCCGCTGAAAGTGTGTTTTTGAGAAAACGAAAATGTGTTAGCTGAAATAGGCATTGATTGATGAATAAATATTTTGGCTCACTCTGTATGTTTCTTGGCATTCCAATGAGAGCAATTCAACTACCTAAATATTTTAAAGTCTTCCTTAAAAAAAAAAAAGAAGTTTATTTGTCAAGGATGAGTGTTTTCCCTTTCTCATCCAGTTTTTACGGTCTTGCCATCTGTTACTTTCCCTTAAGGGGCCAGATGTGGGAGTGTGGGGTAGAGACACACCGTGACCATAACATAACTATAATTTTGCAAGTTACTCTGATAAATTGTAAGAGTAGGTGAATAATAGGAATATTTGACTGGGATCCAAAAAGTCAAAGAGTCCATAGAGATGGAGCAGAGAGAAGCAGTTACACATTAATTCTAGAGAATCTACCAAAGTCTTTGGATTTTGTATTCAGCCCTACTGGGTCCCAGTCTGTTTTATTAGTTCTGTTAATGTAAGCAGTTTACATGACCTCTCTGAAACTCAGTTTTGAAATGTGTCAGATGTAAGAAGTAGCACATACATTGTTGGGCTGTTATAAGGGTGACCAGTAATATTTGTCAAGTTCCTGACATGGTGCCTGCCACATAATGTTTAGTCAAAAAATGATAGCTATAATTAAAATCCTTTAAAAAGTGTTTTTTTAATATGGTAAATTAAAACACACTCATCTTCTGTACCTCTCCCCTGAAAGAAATCACTAAAATGACACCCAGAGGGATGAAAACAAACAAAAATGTAAAAACGGTAAACTAGAGGAGATAACAGATGGTCACGTATCCTGTCACTTAGCAGAGGCTAGAGAATTGTGATCCTAGCCTGCTGACGTGAAACCTTCGAAGGAAGCTGACAGGTCCTGCAAAACCGGGGGCCGCAGGAAACTGAAGCGCTAGGTAATGTGTAGCTCTGAAAACGGGAGGAATGGTTGCAAGTCTCCTTGCACAACATTCTTAATTCTGGGACTTACGGTGTGTCCTAGCAGAACAAAGGAACAGTCGAACCAGATAATCTCTGACCTCATAAAGAATAGGGGTAAGGCCATGGGACTGAAAACTGGGAGATTAACCCCAATTCCGTTACTTAACTGGGCTCTCCACTTCCTCTGCCTTAACCCGTATCACTTCTAGAATGCTGGTGGTTCGACTTAGTGGACCAGGCAGGATACTGGGGATTTATTTTTTTCCTCAGCAAAAAGAACAGCTCAAGAGAAAATGCTTATAGACCTGATGTAAGGCTGGAGGCACCGGAGGGAGGGCTGAGCACGTCGGACCCTGACGACGTGCCGAAGTCCCCGGCCGCTGCCCCCTCCCAGCCGGAGGATGTGCCTTGGGCCAGCCAATCCCCGCGCCGCTGTGCATCTGCTCTGCCTCCCGCTGCCCTCTTTAAAAACTGGCTGCCTGCCCTGCTGGGCGCGACTCCTCCAGCCTGTGCCGGTGCAGACCGGTGAGCCGCGCCCGCGACTGCGCTCAAGTAAACTGCCTCGTCCTTTGTTGCCTCTCGTTGCCTGCTTATTTCGGTTAGAATGTATCTTACACCTGACATTTGGAAATCGCCTCCACAACTGTGAAAAGGCAGCATTTTGCACCTACTGTGAAGCTCACCCGCATACACAGAATTTCCTACCAGCATTTTTGTGTCTGAGATTTTAATATAAATGGACAGAAAATAATTACCAGACATTGTAGGAATAACTTAAATGAGAAAACTACAGACTCAAACACATAATAAGGAACTTCAAAGAAAACAGAGGTAACACTGAAGTAGAAGGACCTTTGCTCCCTCAAAACTACAATCAATACATTCAAAAAGAAGAGGAGGAACAAAATAGCTGCAGCAAAAATTCACATTTTTAAAAGGGAAGAATGATGAAACAGACAGTAATGACTGGTCCATAGCAGCTACCAAATACTGTTGGTTTCTCTGTTCCAACAGTGGAGCAGTTTCCTTGATTAATTGCTCTTCCAGGCTATGATTCTGTTCTGGAGGTTAGTCTCCCTTGTCCTTTGTCCTGCTACTCTTAGGAAAGGTGCGATCTGGTATTTTCTTTCCTCAGTACAATGTAAGGAATATACATCAAAATATAAAACATGCTCAATCATCAACCTTCATCCAATCCTAGGAAGTTTTCATAAGGCTGTAGTACAAGTTCACAAAAATGCATGTACATTTTTTAAAGGTGAAATGCTACAAGCAACCTCAGTGTGTGTACATAGGATATAGTAAGACACTATATAATAATTGATAGATAAAGTAATTGATATAAGAGAACAAAAATAATAGCATAGTCACAAATACTGTTGTTCAGTTCAAAAAGATTACAGAATAGTATTATATAAATGTTTACTATATATATATATTTTTTTTTTTTTACATACACTGCTCTCCAAAAGGATGTTTGCTCAAATGCTATTGGTGATTCTCTTCGATAATTGAACTTGGGGTGATTTCACTTCTTCTTTACATTTTTCACAATCAGCACATGTGAATTTTACAAGAACTGTTTTACTGAACTTTATATGGTTCTTGATTAGCTAGTTGTGGAATATTCATTTTACAAATTAATTGTGTTTAATTTTAAGACAACTTCTCCCATGCTGTTCAGCATTCCAAATCGTCCTTCCTAATATCAATTGCTGTTTGTTCAGAAAATCATCTTATTTTAATACTACTCTGAAAAAAACAAAATCAGAAGCATGGATTAGTCAAAGTCTTTTAGGCCAAATGGAAGTGACGCTTTACCTTCATACATCTTGAATTAAGTAGCTCTAGCTACTAGGTAACAACTAGTTGATACTGGGTTGCTTTTAGCAACCAGGTGACTATTACTGCTGATAATGAGTATGGATATGTTATTACTGAAGTGATTAACTAGAGACGTGGTGAGTTATTTAGCCTAAGTCTCAGATCACTCATCTGAAAATGAGGAAGAAGATTGCCTGAGGCCTTTCTTCAAAGTGCTAAAAAAATGTTAGCTATTATTATCTGTATGTATGAGAAAAGTCAGTAACCTAACTATTTTTTCAAGTAGATAAATGATTTTAGAGTATATTTTCTGTAGGAAGCTTTTTTCAAATGGCAATTTCAGGTTTATTCTTGCACAAGCAAACTAAAAAATCGATTATAGTGTACTGTCAGAGTTAAGAAATGACATTCAGGAATGGATTTACTAAACATCACATTGTCATTTTAGCTACTGGACCCTCTGACTAGTTCTTACTGAACCACTGGAGAACCTTGGCCTACTTATAATTAATTACTTCCATTAGTTTTACTTATTTACATAACAGGTCTTGTTAAGGAGAAATCATTTTCAAAATTATTGACTGAAAAGTTTATTCTCTAGTTTAATTCCAATAATTTGTATTCTTGTTGTGTTATGTTTACCCCCACCCCAATGCCAAAATTAAATATTTTCCATTTCATATGAAAATCGTAATTATCATTTTTAAGTCTAATTATTTGCCTGATATAGCATTTTGTATATTTTCTCAGGTGTGTATCTTAAATAGTATTAGGTATTATTTCTGATTCTATGAAATTCTGTGTACATCTTGACTTACATAGAATCTAATATTAAAGTCTGAGTTATTGCATATCAGATGTAACTATTTATTGTCAGCTGCTTTTTACAAATTCATATGGTACCATTAATTTTTCATAACTGTGTCATCATTTGTATCATAGTTTGGATTTGTTTTTAATGAAAAACCGTATCTTAATTGTGACTTATTTTCTTGAAAGATAAAAAGTAACATAATTAAAAATAGGAATAATAGATTAGCTTAACTAGACATGACTATTTACTTTAATGTTTTAAATGTTTTTAAAAGTGTTTTAAATCAGAACGACTTTGAAAGGCATAGATCTGTTTTAAAATATTGGGTATCCAAGTAAGTTCATATTTAAAGGAGGCTACTATGTAAATGGCATTCTAAGTCTGAGAAAACATCTTATTTGCCTTTAGTAATGAGAAATCTATGTAAGAATATGCATTTTCTTTTTTATTTTGTTTTCCTATCAGAATTTCCAGAACAAGTATCTGGCTTATCTGTATTGAAGATATTGAGGCTACAGAAGTTCAGTTTTCTTTAAAAACTCCATTCAAACTCCAAGTGCCTAGTCCATGACAGCTGGATAATGGTTTTGTGCTCTTTTTAACTAGCACGTTAGAATGAAAATAAATTCGTGAACTTGGTATATTTTAACATTACCTATCACATAATGTTCCTTTGTTTTCACAGATTCAGTTTTTGAATCTGTGAGAACAGATAATCTTTCAGTTTAATACTGATTTACTACAAACACAGATAATCTTGTATAATGGTTTTCATTAAGCAAGCATAGTTATTACCTCATTGCTTCTCTTACTTCTAACTAATAATCACTTTAGTAAGTAGTTTTACCAAATTTAAGTTAGTAAAAAGATACTTTTTTCTGATTCACTTTCCACTTTGGAATAGTGTTCTCAAGTTAGAGTTCATGTATGTACTTTGTTGGGTTTGAGGGCTAAAGAAAAGATACTGTAGCTGGTTGGAAAATGTGAATTCAGTGCTATTTTATTGGCTCCTAAGCCTTCATTTTAGCAAATTTCCCATTGTTTCCTCTAGTTAACTGTGTCAGTACTTCTAGACAAATGACTTCCACTAACTGTTCTTGTTAACAGACTATTGGTCTCAGAGCCATAATCATAATCCAATTATCTTTCCTTGTAGCATCAGAGGCTCCTTGAAATTCTGGATGCAGAGAAGGAACTATTAAAGGAGAAAGTAAAGGAAGCTTTGCTTCAGCAGTCTCAGGAGCAGAAGGTGACACTTTACACTTGCTCACAGTGCGGGAAGAACGTGCTCTGTTACCTCAAAGCATACATGTAATGTCTATCCAACTGTCTTATCATTTATAGGAAATACTGGAAAAATGTTTGGAGGAAGAAAGAGAAAGAAATAAAGAGGCATTAGCATCTGCTGCAAAGGTATTTCCATTTGTAATGTGTTTTTTTATAAGTGGAATTAAAACACCAAGTTCATTAATGGTTATAGTCAACCTACTTTTCATAGAATATTTCATTATAAAAAAATCAAAAGTTCTTTTTCTTATTTTTCCCCTTAAATTTAGGATTCATATTATTATTAAATTCATGTTCTGTAAGATTAAGATATGAAATGCTTTACATTTAGATTATTAATTGTTAAAAAATGTTGAGAAACTAATAACCACTTGGTATTTGATAGGTATCATCACAGTGGTGTGTGTGTATACGTTTATCAAGATATGTGGTTTTTGAAGCCACCTTTGAAGTAGCTCACCTAACTAGCGTACTCATAGATAGCAAATACACATATGCCCGCAAGTACACATATAGCACTAACTTTAGAGATTTGGATTTCAATTTAAATATATTGAGAGTTTTATATGTGCAAATCACTATGCCAGGGGTGGAAATTTAAGCATATTATGATTTTATCTTACAGAATTTATAATCCCATAAGAAAAATTATTACTGCTAAGACACGGAGGAATGTATTAAGTTATTATGAGTGTATAGGTAGTATTTTCATGTCATAGGAGTTTTTGGCAATAAATTACTTTTGAAATGAGCTTGAAGGATGGCTGATATTCTGAATCGTTAGTCTGAATTATATTCCATTTGTAAGGACAGACACATTGAAATTTTTGATAATTAACATTAATTATTTAACATAATTAACATAATGATAGTTAACTTTAATTTTGGGGATATTAGGGGCAACGAAGGCTAGAGGGAAGGAAGGATTTAATAGAGTGTATAGGAAGCCTGGGTAAGAGATAGTGAGTAGCAGAAATAAAGTAGTAGAAGTAGCTTGGAAAGAAAAGAAATAGACAGATTCTGTAAATAGGAGATGTACTTAACATGTATGTTTGGTGTGGATAGTTATAGAAGGAGGCCAGGTTGTGAACCCCCTGAGTATTGGTTCAACAAAAACATGGTAAGTAGTACTGTTTCTCCTGCCTGTAATGTATCCAGATAATGTAATGTATCCTGTAATGTAGCCAAGTAAGTCGCTCAGTCTACCTGACATTTACAGCTCAGGAGAAGGGAATGACCTGATAATAGTAATATGCTTTTTTCTTTTCTCAGAGGATAGATGGTAATGGTAGCTATGGAAATCGCTGTCATTACTTCCCACAACAGCTTAGAGTAACAAGAGGTATAAGCAATGAGCCCTGAAAGAGCTCCAAAACTTAAAATCCAAAGAAAGGAGGACGTTACAAAGTCACGGTGTTATCCAGATAAGTGGGAGAAATAAAAGCAGCCTGCTGTCATGTCACACGCGAAAAGAGAGGGTTTCAAGGAAACAGAAGCAGTCAACTATGTAGGCTCTCACTTTGAGGTCAAGAAAAGCAAGGATTAAAAAATATATATATATATCATTTGGATTTAACAACATGGAGGGCACTGGTGAGCAAAGTAAGATATTTTAAGAGAAGATTGTGGAGTGAAACAGGAGTTCAGGGAGTGGTAACTCACCTTCAATTTCTGTCAAATCTGGCTGTTGCCTGGAAGCAAGAGTGAAGTGGTATCTTTGGGGTCAGGGGCGGGAGGTCTGCAGACTTTACTGCTTCCCGAAGTAAGATGGTTTTCTTGAGGAAAATTCTTATGCAGTTGTTTGAGTTGTAACTGCAGGAGGAAATTTTCATGGAGCACCATTTTACTGAATTACTTGGGTTATACAGACTTCAGTATTTAACAGACATTTTCTCCAAAGTAAGCAGCATCTCAAGAAAACTGACAAATTTTGTTGCCAATGATAAAATTTGAGCTTTAAAGCAAAAATTAGAATTTTGGAAAATTTGTATCTGTTTTCTAACACTTAAAAGACTTTTTTGATGAGACTGTTGGTGATATTAACAAATGTGACCTTCTGTTTTGTTATGACATAACAAAATGTGTCAACCTCTGGAGAAGAGGCATAACTCAATTGAATCAGTATTTTCCAAATAAAAATATTTTAAAAATCATGCCTAGGTAAAGCACTCACTCAGAGTGCAGGAAAAGGGGCTGATGTAACAGAGTACAAAAATTTCTTTGACATGATATGATTTTCCTTGTTGCAACTAACTTTTAAGAACCACCCCTTGTTAAGTTTTAGTGTAGAATATCTTTAGAGATATAAACCGGCTACTAAGCACTTTTCCTTTTTCTGTTGTATATCTGTGTGAGAAAGTTTTCTTTATATATGTCAACCAAAAAGCCTGTCATTACAGGTTTAATATAGAAGATAGATACAAGAACCTAGCTGTTTTTTGTAAGTCAGACATTACAAACACCAAACATATAACAATATCATTTTCTCACTTTTTAATTTTGGAAAATATAGCTATTTTTCATAAAATGTGTTACTGTACAATGCAATTAGTGTTATTAATTTCAAATTAATAAATAAGTATACTTATTTTGTTTTGGTTTGAATTTCTAATATGGCATGGTAAATCTTAATGTGTATAGCTAGCATAAGCAAAAGCCCTTTGAAGTCCTCAATATTTTTTACATGCCTAAGGAAATCCTAAGACCAAATGGTTTAAAAATTGCTACTTTAAGCTGAGGCTTGGTTTCTTTGAAGTTGAGAAATGCCATGGAAACGTGTAGGACTATTTGTATGAAAACAAATAATTTATTTTACAACAGTTATTAAATCTACATAAAAAGAGCAATGTCAGAACTAAACCCTATAGAATCAAAGATTTGTATCCTTTAGGTTAACCCAAATCTGTCTTATTCAAGGAATTACTGTGCAGTCACTCTTTGAAGTATTTTCATTTAGGTCATTATTTGTTTTGAAGCTTGAAAAAGAAGCAGTGAAGGATGCAGTTTTAAAAGCCATAGAAGAAGAAAGAAAAAATTTGGAGAAAGCCCATGCTGACGAAAGAGAGTTATGGAAGGCTGAGCACGCAAACAGTCAAGAGAAAGTATCTCAGGCAATTCAAAAAGCTATACAGGAGCAAAAAAAAATAAGTCAGGTTAGTGAAATTAATTCTCTGTAATATTTTCTTTTTTCTTATTTTTCTCAAAATGAAGTATCCTTACTATTGTTTTATTTTACTTAAAATCACCTTCGCAGACATAACAGTATTTAATTATTTTACCTTCAGTATTTTTTTAAACTAATAATTTTTAATTTAGCAATACTTTCACTTTCTGATAACTTACAATTCTGCCTTTTGGCTTTTCGAAAAATTCAGAATCCAAATTTATATTTAGTTACTGCAACTACATTAAGCCTCCTATTTAATATATGTTTTTCTTTTTCACACACACACACAATCAATACAAAGTAATGTATGTAGAAAAAAGTTTGGTTCAATTAATTAAGTCTAATTCATATGTCTGTTTATACATGAATATTAGAACCTCCCAAATATCCCTATGGTATCATAAAAGATATTGTTTATCAACAAGTATGGCCTACATTCGAAATCACTTGTGATCACTTATCAGAACAATTAAAAACTACATTAATTTCATTTTCCATAATTGAATTTGCACAGTTCTATTTTACCTGTATTTAGTGTTTTCTTTATATAAGCAATGAGATACCTGAATAATTTTTCCCTTAACAAGTATGAAAAGCAAAAAATAACATTTGTAGAAATCTTTCTTTAACATGATCAAAGCGTTACATATACTACTATTGTTCATTCAACTATGCATTATAAATGTAGCTAAAATGCTGAACCCTTAACAACCCAGAAGATTCTTTTATGACTTATTAACTAATCTTAATAAAGCCCTGAAAAACTCAGTGTTTCTAATATTAAGGATAAATGTTACACAATTCTTTTAAAAAGCCACAAGTTTATTCTCAAGAACACAGTTATACATTTATTTTAAAAATTAAACAGATCTGTAGGTAACATATATGGTAAAGTAACAGTATAGCAACAGATCTAGCTTTTTTTTTCTACTAGTGATTTCTTTCTAATTCTTTCTGTAATCTATTGTTAATATCAACAAATACATGTTGATCAGCTATTGTACGTAAGATGTTTAATTGTCTGAAAATTCAGTTGGTTGGAATTTCATGCCAGTGACATCAAGATCATTGGTTAAGTTCTGATTTGGGAGAGTTTCAACTTTTTTTGATCACAGATCATTCCTGTAACCTCACACAGATGTGGGCTGTTAATCACCATGAGTTTGAGCAAGAGAGCGTGAATAAATCAGCACATATGCATCACTCAAGCAGAAAAATACATATCTTAAAGAGCACACTTCTCTACTGGTTTGGCAGGAACATTCTTACCTACAGGAAACACTACTCTTTATGATACACTTTAAAATTTGTTCTCCATAATTTCAGAGTACTGTTAAGATAATACAGGCATGTCCATGAATAAATGTATTGTGTGCATTTTCTTCCAAATTACTGCATATTTTGGGCACATGTGAGATAAAGAAAGATGTGTGTGTGGTGTGTGTGTTTAACTACCTGATGGCAAAGAGAGTGGAATAGAAAACATATAGAACAGAGAACAGTGTTTTCAAATAACTCAGGTTTTCAAATATGATACTATCACATGTATTCAAGGATTTCCTGAAATAGTTGCTTTTATTTTCATTAGTTGTAGTAAAAGCTTATAGTCCAACAACTGTCATTCCGTGGGTACCTTGAAGTTTCATAATCCTAGTCTAGAAAATCAACAGAATTTCTTTTCTTGAAAGCCAGCTGAAATTCAAATATCTTTTGTTTATTTAGGCCAGTAAGATAAGCAAATGGCTGTAGTCACATTTGGTGTTTCACATTAATAATTGAAACTACTGCCTGCTATGTTCTAGGGAATGTACTTATTTCTGGGGATATAGTAGTGAAGACTGCGTGTGAAGACGACTGACAAGAAATAAGGATGTGATGTGAAATAGAGATCAGTTGCGTGAAGAAAAGTCAAGCTGTGTAAGGAGCTAGAGGGTGAGGGAACTAATATGTAAATAGGGTGTCACGAAAGAACTCTAGGGAGCTAGCATTTGAGTTGAGGCCTGCATTTAAGTTAGGAGTTTACCTTGTGAGTAGCTGGGGAAAGAGTGTTTCAGGCAGTGGGAAAAGCAACTGCAGTGGCTCTGAGGCAGAAGGATGCCGGGGGTAATTAAAAACCTTATGGTCCTTATATGGATATAGACAAACAGACCAGTGAAATAGTGTAGAATACAGAAAAACACACAAATTTTTCCATAATTTATAAATCTGTAAAGATGATATTACAAATAAGATGAAGAAGTTACCTTAGCAAATCAGGATTTTTAATCTGCATTGCATGGAAGGTTGTCCAGCCAATCTGAATTTACTGAAATTATGCAAAACTATGTATGTGTAGATTTTTCTGCAGAAATGGTTCATAACTTTTATTAAATTCTCAAAAGTATCTTTGTTACTGATTAACCCAGAAAAGATTAAACATAATTGCAACTGGCTTCCCATTTCTTTCTGCACTTTGTATGCTACAGTGAATATCAGATACATTAAGTATTGAAATTATAAACTTAATGCACTAAAAAGAAATGGGGCAAATATTGATATCCTGTGAAAGGGAGAATCTAAGCACTTCTCCAAGGCAGACTAAGGACGTCTGCATAAAGGCAGTGAGAACAAGCAGAAATTGTCAAAATCAACTTTTTCAGAACTCTGGATATTAACCAAAGGCATCAACAACCCAAGGGGTATTTATTCAGGAAAAATAGTCAAGTCTCAGTAAGAATAGCAAGTTCTGTAGAGTTTTAACTTGCCTTATTCCCACCCCCTTGGGCCCAGCTCCATAGTAGCGTTAGGCGTGTCACTATCATGGTAGCTGTGAAAACCAGCAATGTATAAGCCACTGGAGGGGGCGGACCAAGTTGGAGCTTCACGAAAACCCCATCTATTTGGCCTGCCTGGCAGCTTCCTAGAAAATCTCCATTTGCAGGACTTGTTGATATTTGACCTGGCGCAGAGCTTATTCAGTGGGAAAAGCCCCATCTCCAGGATATTTGACAGAAGCAGTAAGTGGCAGTTATTTAACCTTCCAGCTCCCTGGGACAGAAATACCAGTTGCAAATATGAGCCTGACCAAAAAGAAGGAGGGTGGGAGGATCTGGGCAACGTGATTGTTATAAGTAGCTCTGAAAAGCTCTGGGAATATTTGAAAATATTCCTGGATTTCTTGAAGGTCACATAAGTGCCCAAGATCGTCCACATGCCCCGGAAAGACCTGAGAAGGCCCTAGTCTCTCGCCTCTGGCTGACTTTGATTCTGTGCAAACAGAAAGTGAAGGGTAAGGTAAAGCCGTACACTGTCCATGTTGAGGGTATGCCCCAACACACGCAGGCCCTAGGCAAATGATGGGAGACTCACTGGTTAAAGGCATTTAAGGAAATTCCTTCCTAATCATTAGCTGACTACTGTGCTAACCCAGCAGAGACTTCAGTGGCCACACATGATAAAGCATACAGATTTTACAGAATTAGTCCAGAAAAGTTCCTAAACGAACAGGAAATTGAGATCTGATTTCTAGAGTTGCTATATTACATCATCTTAATGTCCACTTTTTATCAACAACAAAATTATGAGATGTGCAAAAAAACAGAAAGGTATGGCCATATATAGGAAAAACAAAGCAATCATCAGACCCTACATTCATGTGGGACTTACTAGACAAAGCCTTCATCTGTTACTGTAAATAATGGTCAAAGAACTAAAGATCATTTCTCAAGATTTATGAGCCCTCATCTTACATATTATGTATATATATGGCTCTTTAGAAACTATCACTGGTGGTTTTTGAAAGACTGACTATTAATTTTTAAAAGTGAATCCTCTGCTCTAAAAACAAGACTGCAGATACATGCATGTACACTGCCGCACCTTCCACTGTACCTGCAGGCACAGGGTGTGCATTGTTGGGAGGAAAAGGCCCTGACCTCCTGTCTCAGAGTGTATATACTTCTGATACTTTGAATCAGCATACGTCTGATTCAAATACTTCCTCGTCCGCCCCACTGAATTGAGAGTCTCATGAGTGTCTCAATCATATTTATTACTTTTTTTTGAAAGGAGGTGGGGGAAGTTGTGCTCAGTGTATTTCACTTTTTATAGAACATATACCTGTGTTGATAATATGAAACAATAATATACTTCCCCTTGAATATTTCTTTTGAAGTTTTATATGAGTGGAAGTTCTTATGTACGAAGCCTCCGTAGTTGGACAGTGATGAATCGATGTGTTACTTCACCAAGGGACTATTGTACATCCCCTAAAGCTCGAAGGATATAAGGGTCAGAGATGCAAAAGATTATTTCCCTGCAGTAGAAAATGTCAGAATTGCCTGTTTGAAGAGTGTTATATAGGCAGTAAAGTTTATATAAGAAACCTTTGTATTCAAAGACCTTTATATTTTGTATATGTATAAAATCTGAAAACTTTTTCAGAAAATACTAAATTAATAAGTACTTAGTAAGTTTCTTGATACAAAATCAAAACACAAAATTGTAGAAAATACCACTTGTGATTGCATAGTCTTCTGTTTACTAGCTTAGAAGTTAAATGTTTCTGTTATTTTGGTGGGTCCCCTAGAATTACAAGATGTATCTCCCACTTACCAAAGTAATTGATCAATATTTTTATCTTTCTTCCAGACAATATAAAGAACTCAAAATTCTTCAACTCAGTTTACTTTCTTCCATAATTTTATGCTATTGTTATGATTAACTCTGTATTTTCAAACCTTGCACTAATACAGTGTATTCTTCTTTATATTTATTATAAATAATAAAATACTTCTCTTTTTTAACCTACATCTCTGATCTTTCTGGCCTCTGTTGCCTCACCTGAAGTGCATCCTTCAGAATTTCCTTTGGTGTCATTTTACTTGCAGGGACCAGCAAGCAGTTTCTGTAAAGGCTTAGATACTAAACATTTCAACCTGTGGGCTACACATTTTCTGTCACAACTGTTCAGCTCTGCTATGGTAGCGTGAAAGCAGCCACAGTGTG